TCTCCCTCTGACCCTCCCCCCTCATGCTCTCTCTCAAATAAATAAATAAAATCTTTAAAAAAATAAATAAATAAAACCCTGTGCTGCTTGGCCAAACCAATAATTTCAAGTTCCACAAATACGACCTTTTCTTTAACACACAGCCTAATCCCCTAATGTTTTTCTCTGAATAAATAAAACCATCCAAAATCAAAGAGATTATCAGCACAGTGGTACAACAACAACAAAACTATCAACACCAACTTATCTACTACACCAGTGAATAGTTTCTTCACGTTTCTTTGTGAAGATAATCATCCAAAGAGGGGGAAAGATGTCATCTTTCCACTTCTCGAAGGTGCTCTGAGTTGATCTTTTTCTTCCGAAGCAAGGATGTGCCCATGATTCTATCTTTTGAGAGGTCAGCTCAGCCAACCCCATCCGGTGGTCATCCCTATCCAGAAGCGATTTAGAACAAATACCTAGCATGATGTGTTTCTCTTAATATCACTATCCCTTCTGACTCTTAAAACAAACAAATGCCCGGGATTCCAAAATCAGGTCCAGGAATAGCTGAAGCGATCTGAGTCACCAAGTCAGGAGTCTGAAAGGACTCTCAGAAAGATAGGAGTCAGGTTTGCACCAAACCTCCTGACCTTCTGAAGACCACACTAAAGCTCTGCAGAACTGGAGATACCCATGTTAGCTTCTCTCTATGGCTTAACCAAGCAATTTTAACTTGCTTTTTAATAAGGAGAAATTGTTTTCAAAGAAATTTTAACAAAAACCCAGTTATGCAACTCACGGAAGTTGTAGTTAAAAAAATGTATTTTTAGCTCAAATTCCTTACATTTGTTTCTCAAAAAGTAAATCAATAAGAACACCAGTTAATATGTGCATAGCATATTGGAGTATTTTAAAAATTTAGAGAGCAAGTAGTAGTTAATCTATTAAAATAAATCAGAATCAAATATATTTGAGTAATAATAGCTAACATATGGAGTACATGCTGTGCTAAATGATTTGCATAAAACAGTTCAATTACTATTTTTTTTTTTTAATTTATTTGAGACAGAGAGAATGAGAGAGAGAGAGCACATGAGAGGGGGGAGGGTCAGAGGGAGAAGCAGGCTCCTTGCTGAGCAGGGAGCCCGATGTGGGACTCGATCCAG